CTGATCCTCTGAAGTCAGATTCCGTTCATACACATGTCTGTCTTATCCCATGTGGCCCATGTTGCCATATGTTTCACTGATTATATTCCTATAAACCACAGGCCACCAGTCCAAATGTGGCCCCTCCGGGTATAAAAGACCTCTGTCAGTCAACTGCCCTCCTCCAAGGAGGCATGGCAAATGTAGTTCTTTATCCCTGTGTCACTCTGGGGCTGAGGAAACTTGGTGGGATTATCTCAAGCTATGAAATGTAATCTCCATGAGGGCAGCAATGCTGACTACCCTATTCATCACTATTCTCTGAATCCATAAAACAACTCCGCTATTGTAGTACTCAAAAATTTCTTTCCTGATGGGCTCTTCCTTGGTGTCCTCACACATCCATCTCTACTCAGTGTCTAAGTCTTGATAGAAAGGAAAGAATTTCTGTTAGTCTTTTTCACCACCACAGCTGTAGTCAAGAAGCAGAAACAAGTCCTGGATTCCTCAGAATGTATCTGGAGGCTCTGTGAAGACTCTCGCTTACTCCCAACACTTAGAATGCTTGAGACTCCGTTTTGGGGCTCTGAAACTCTGAGGCCCTGACTCTTCCCTTGCCCAGTGCTCTCTGTACTTCTTCTGATGTGGGTTCTTGGACATGGGAAAATGTCATAGGAAGTAACAAAGATGGGTAGGGCTGGATTATTGACACTGAGAGAGAGAGTCAGCTTACCTCAATCTAGCTGCTGTGGAGAGGAGGCAGAGTCATGAAGAAGAGAACATAACAGATATCATCTCTATACTCAGGTTCTGACCTGGGGCTTCCAGTATTTGACAGAATGACCATATGATCTTCAATTTCATGAGGATCACTTTCTTCATCAGTGCAATTGTGGGGCAGACTTGATGATCTCTGTAGGTCCTTCTTATCCTGACCACCAGAGATTCTAAAAACTCTGCTGATTGTTCAACCATCTTTCTCTTAATCTTGAAACTCAAAAGCCAGCAGTTATATCTCGGTGTCTTGAAGTGGTAACATACT